AATCTTGCTATGGTTCTATTCATAATCACAACTTATAACACTCATCTTGCTTTGGTTCTAGTCATAAACAGAACTTATAACACTCATCTTGCTATGGTTCTACTCATAAACACAACTTATAACACTCATCTTGCTATGGTTCTAGTCATAAACAGAACTTATAACACTCATATTGCTATGGTTCTACTCATAAACAGAACTTATAACACTCATCTGGCTATGGTTCTATTCATAAACAGAACTTATTACACTCATCTTGCTATGGTTCTAGTCATAAACAGAACTTATAACACTCATCTTGCTATGGTTCTACTCATAAACAGAACTTATAACACTCATCTTGCTATGGTTCTAGTCATAAACACAACTTATAACACCAATCTTGCTTTGGTTCTATTCATAAACACAACTTATAACACTGACGTCATTTATAAACTACCAACCAACATTTGTCTTGTATCTAAGTTTCCTTCTCTTCTTAATGTGGGACGTCATTTATAAATACCAACCAACATTTGTCTTGTATTTAAGACAATTATTCTTACATATAAAATGGAAAATGTTTGAAGTAAAACAAACCTTGCGACACATTACACCATTAGGATGTCATTACTATATATTATATCAACATAATAATATACTGTTATAATGTCATTGATATATCTAATGTCAACCTAATAATAGACTATTATGATGTCACTGATATATCTAATGTCAACATAATATTATACTATTAGGATATCATTAAGATATCTTATATATTTTAATGTTATTCATGCTTTGCTAAACGATGTTTCTTACCTGACAAGTCGCGTTGTGTCTTTTTATCTCTTTGGAATATTCCAGTAATCTTATCAAGAAATGCCTGGATGTGCCTTTCGTCACCACTGGTTGCTTCTATGCAACACGTAGTTGGAAACTTTGTTAACTGTACGAAGAAAACATATTATCAGCATGAATTATAAAGTCCTCCAGTGACACTGATTTAAAACTGACAATATATCTAGTCGCTGCCGAGGTCGCTTATGATTTTAAATCAAAGGTTGTTATGTTTCGGAGCATGACGACCTGGGTACCCTAGAGAGGTATGTTTTAAAACCTCCGAGTCTGAAACTTATACCTTGAACAGCCGTTTTGTTATGGCGTGGAAAAGCAGAAATAACAAGATATTTTATATAATGTGGTAAGTGTCTATATTAAGTTTGTTTTGCCAAGTTGCACACTGAGCTATCTGCGCTGTTTAACTACATACTTTGAGATGGAAAGTGTTCGATATAGACTTGTCCTGGAGTCACGATTAGTGTTATAAGTTCTGTTTATGAGTAGAACCAAAGCAAGATGAGTGTTATAAGTTCTGTTTATGAGTAGAACCATAGCAAGATTAGTGTTATAAGTTGTGTTTATGAGTAGAACCAAAGCAAGATTAGTGTTATAAGTTGTGTTTATGAGTAGAACCAAAGCAAGATGAGTGTTATAAGTTGTGTTTATGAGTAGAACCATAGCAAGATGAGTGTTATAAGTTCTGTTTATGAGTAGAACCATAGCAAGATTAGTGTTATAAGTTCTGTTTATGAGTAGAACCAAAGCAAGATTAGTGTTATAAGTTCTGTTTATGACTAGAACCAAAGCAAGATGAGTGTTATAAGTTGTGTTTATGAGTAGAACCAAAGCAAGATTAGTGTTATAAGTTGTGTTTATGAATAAAACCAAAGCAAGATTAGTGTTATAAGTTGTGTTTATGAGTAGAACCAAAGCAAGATTAGTGTTATAAGTTGTGTTTATGAATAGAAACAAAACAAGATGTGTGTTATAAGTTGTGTTTATGAATAGAACCATAGCAAGATGAGTGTTATAAGTTCTGTTTATGAGTAGAACCATAGCAAGATGAGTGTTATAAGTTCTGTTTATGAGTAGAACCAAAGCAAGATGAGTGTTATAAGTTCTGTTTATGAATAGAACCAAAGCAAGATTAGTGTTATAAGTTGTGTTTATGAATAGAACCATAGCAAGATTAGTGTTATAAGTTCTGTTTATGAGTAGAACCAAAGCAAGATTAGTGTTATAAGTTGTGTTTATGAGTAGAACCATAGCAAGATGAGTGTTATAAGTTCTGTTTATGAGTAGAACCAAAGCAAGATTCCACATTAAGAAGAGAAGGAAACTTAAATATAAGACAAATGTTGGTTGGTAGTTTATAAATTATGTCACACATTAAGAAGAGAAGGAAACTTAAATACAAGACAAATGTTGGTTGGTAGTTTATAAATGACGTCACACATTAAGAAGAGAAGTAACTTAAATACAAGACAAATGCTGGTTGGTAGTTTATAAATGACGTCCCACATTAAGAAGAGAAGGAACTTAAATACAAGACAAATGTTGGTTGGTAGTTTATAAATGACGTCACACATTAAGAAGAGAAGGAAACTTAAATATAAGACAAATACTGGTTGGTAGTTTATAAATGACGTCACACATTAAGAAGAGAAGGAACTTAAATACAAGACAAATGTTGGTTGGTAGTTTATAAATGACGTCACACATTAAGAAGAGAAGGAAACTTAAATATAAGACAAATACTGGTTGGTAGTTTATAAATGACGTCACACATTAAGAAGAGAAGGAACTTAAATACAAGACAAATACTGGTTGGTACTTTATAAATGACGTCCCACATTAAGAAGAGAAGGAACTTAAATACAAGACAAATACTGGTTGGTAGTTTATAAATGACATACAGGTTCACACTAACTTAGACATTGGATTATACAGGTTCACACTAACTTAGACATTGGATTATACAGGTTCACACTAACTTAGACATTGGATTACACAGGTTCACACTTACTTAAGATAGATTGGATTATACAGGTTCACACTTACTTAAAAGACATTTATTTATATAGCTTCACACTTACTTAGAAGAAAGGATTTATCGAAGATTTAATCTGTGGTGTAAAACTGTTTAATCCATTTTCCGATAAAGATTTTGTTTTTCCTCGTGCCTGGGTGAAATTTCCCACGTATTAACAGTTCAAGCTTCTAAAAGAAATACATCACTAGCCATGAATATAAACTGTGTGGTTTGGACGGTGGGATGATTACCCCAGGGGTTCCAGAACAAACCTGCATCTCTAATTCCATCCGATATCCCATAGAAACAAGGCATCAATATGTTTACACCATAGTTTAATATATTGGCGAGAGAGGGCAGCACTATAAAAGACTCTGAAATAGTCTCTTTTTTTTTACTAAAGAAAAATACTTTATCAAACTACGTGTAAGCAGTAAAATTAGAGCATAAAATTGGTCTTTAATCTTTTACTTAAAATGTGTTTATTGCACTTCATCAGAAAATGTTCCTTGACTTCTGCTTTTTAAACTGTTTCCTAAGATAAAACTGATGAATTTTTAGCTTCAGTACTCTACGATATATAGTTGTTTATTTTCCACTCATACGATGACTCAGAGCATCAATGTTTTTGTTGGTTAAGCCTAACATACTAACCTTGATTCAGAAATTAGCGAATGAAAAACTACATTCGTCACCGAAAAAATATTTTTTTTATGAATAATGAAAAACGTAAAGATCTTCAAATATTTTATTGAATACATTTTGTATTTTACAGTTATGATTGGCGCCAAAAAGTCAAGTAAAATTTAATACAGGAATTCAACTTGTTACTTATCTTCAAGTGGTACGTCATCTATCCTTATGCATATTGAAAACAAACTTCCATTTCTGGTGCTAAACATATCATGCTCTTTGCGCCATCTCTTACAGGGAATAAGAACTAAATTTAACAATAATTTGATTTTATTAATTGCGCAAGCAAAACATCTATGTGTAAATATAATAATAAATTTTCTTGAAAAACTACACACAGTTTCTGAAATAAATCACCCTTAAATAATAATAAGAAACATGAACTTTAAAATATTTACTGACATAATTATATATATAAATCGGGGGGGGGGTGCAAAGTTAAAGTAAAAATACAATTAAACTTCTTATAAGAAAAATGAAATATTTGAATTGTCAATTCATTGATATAGTAATAATATAGTAAACAAGTAAAAACATAAAATATAATATCTGGCATGTAGGACTATATGAAATCTCGTTTTCACATTTCTACTTTCAGCTGTTATATAGTCGATGAATATATATCGTAGAAATATTGGTCAAACAAATCCACGGTTTGTGTTATTTAATTAAAACATTGTTAATAAAAAGATAAAACTTTCTTTAGAATAAATGTCTAAAACCAAAAAAAGTGTATGAACTAAAAACAAGTGAAACGTTAACATTAAATACACGAACGTCCTCGTAAACTGTACAATACTAGTGATTAAATACTGGAACGTCTTGGTAAACTGTACAATAATAGTGATTAAATACAGGAACGTCTTGGTAAATTGTACAATACTAGCGATTAAATAGAGGAACGTCTTGGTAAACTGTACAATACTAGCGATTAAATACAGGAACGTCTTGGTAAACAGTACAATAATAGTGATTAAATAGAGGAACGTCTTTGTAAACAGTACAATAATAGCGATTAAATAGAGGAACGTCTTGGTAAACAATACAATAATAGTGATTATATAGAGGAATGTCTTGATAAATTGAACAATAATAGTGATTAAATACAGGAATGTCTTGGTAAATTGTACAATAATATCATCACATATACGCACAGCTGAAATAATTTGTCTTCATGGAAAAAAAATGTATGTGATATATTTGATTATTTCAGATCTCTTCTTCAGAAAATAATTAGTTTATTTAAGGTCGTGATTACGAAAACAACAAAGTACTTTCACAGTACTATAATTGTCTTTCTATAAACATATATCATGTAAGAAACTACCTCATGTTCAACAATTTGTATATTCTATTTATAAACTACCAACCAGTATTTGTCTTGTATTTAAGTTTCCTTCTTTTCTTAATGTGGGACAATCCAATGTCTAAGTTAGTGTGAACCTGTATAATCCAATGTTTCTAAGTTAGTGTGAACCTGTATAATCCAATGTCTAAGTTAGTGTGAACCTGCATAACCCAATGTCTAAGTAAGTGTGAACCTGTATAATCCAATCTATTTTAAGTAAGTGCGAACCTGTGTAATCCAATGTCTAAGTTAGTGTGAACCTGTATAATCCAATGTCTAAGTTAGTGTGAACTTTAGCCATCATCTCCAACTTCTGGTTTTCACGTATAATTTGGATCTGGAATAGATAAATCGATTATTAACTCCAGAAAATCATTTGCTCAACGTTTACCATGAACATAAATGTTCTCTAATGAACTCTATCACCACTCAAATTAAAACTTAAAAGATTCTCTGTAGTTCACGATCGTTTCACTTATTCAAAATTATGTACACTATACTCCAGTCAACATTACGTAATTATGTACTCTATACTCCAGTCAACATTATGTAATTATGTACACTATACTCCGGTCAACATTACGTAATTATGTACAATATACTCCAGTCAACATTACGTAATTATGTACACTATACTCCAGTCAACATTACGTAATTATGTACACTATACTCCAGTCAACATTACGTAATTATGTACACTATACTCCAGTCAACATTACGTAATTATGTACTCTATACTCCAGTCAACATTACGTAATTATGTACACAATACTCCAGTCAACATTACGTAATTATGTACAATATACTCCAGTCAACATTACGTATTTATGTACACTATACTCCAGTCAACATTACGTAATTATGTACACTATAGTCCAGTCAACATTACGTAATTATGTACTCTATACTCCAGTCAACATTACGTAATTATGTACACTATAGTCCAGTCAACATTACGTAATTATATACACTATACTCCAGTCAACATTACGTAATTATGTACACTATACTCCGGTCAACATTACGTAATTATGTACACAATACTCCAGTCAACATTACGTAATTATGTACACTATACTCCAGTCAACATTACGTAATTATGTACACTATACTCCGGTCAACATTACGTAATTATGTACACTATACTCCAGTCAACATTACGTAATGTATTGTTATTCATCTGTAAAGAGCATCCGCCTCCAGCTTTTCACCTTCCATTGTTGGAAGTCTCATGCCCATTTCAGCCTGGTGGTTTTTCCACCAGCTACACATCCATTGAAACCATTGA